GGCGCTGTCCCGGGTGCTGCCCCAGCGCTGCCCAGCCGCACGCGCCCGCCGCCCTCCAGGGCCCACGGGGAAGAGTGGGGGGAGCAACTGTAATGGTGCAGTGGGTGCGGCAGGCGCGAGGGGCCTGCGGTCCGCCCTTCGGGGAGGCCTGGCTTTGGGAACTGGTCAATTTATCGGCATCCGAGCACGGGGAGGGGGGCCGACACAGTTTACTCCAAAAGCCCATCAGAGTCTCAGATCCATCTATTCCGCCTCGTTTCCTCCAACGGCGTGATCTCACAGCGCCGGCAAACCGCAGAGCGGCCAGCGTCCATCACGGCCCCGAGCTGCTCACCCACACCTGGGACTCCAAGTCGGATGGGCTTCCTGTGCCTCCTCCGGGCTCAGTCGCCCCAGGAGACCCTCAGAGACCCCCCCCATAAGAGATGCATCAGGCTCCAACCAAAGTCCCCCCAGGCCCGTCCGACCCTCCCTGCTCCTCCCTCCTGCTTCCCTGCGAGGAAGCAGAGGTGCCCCCACTTGGGTGGGGAGAGGGGAGGTTACGGGGACATCTGTCTGGGAAACGCAGGCTCCCCGGCCCTCTCTGGGCTGTGGCGTCTCTGTGGGTGGGAAGGAGCTTGTGTGCAGCCGAGAACACCCAGAACACCCGCGTCAGCTGCCCCCGCACCTCGTCCTGTCTCACACAGACCCGCACCCCGAGTCTGGACGCCATTTTCTGATGGCTAATTTTTCCAATCCCCAAAATATCAGAAGGTGGATGTATAGCTAGAAAACAGTACAGAGACAGCTGGGAAAACAACGCGCAAGGAAAGATGCAAGAAGCTGAGTTTTAAAGAGAATCATGAAATGCCGAAAAGCTGAGGTGTCTGAGGCCAGCGGGTGGCGTAGCCCACGGCCCACAGACGGAGCCCTGCCCCAGGCCTTGGCACAGGACGGGGGTCCGGGCCTTCACCCTGAGCTGGTTGCGAGGCATTTAAATGGGGTCCTGGGTGCCGGTTAAATGCAGTCGGAGCCTTCCCGTCAACACACGCACACGACGTCTCTGCCCCGGGCACAGCTGCCCGAGTGACCAGGCTGGTCCACAGCCTGACAGCTCAGAGCAGACACCCCCAGGGATCGTGGACACAGCCGGCTCCCCCACAGCCCCGCTCCCCTTCTCTAACCACCCTCTTCTGGCTCAAGAGGCTGGATTACCATCCTGGCAAAGGGGTGTGTCTATTTTTGGCCAAACTTGAATAGAATTAAGGAAAGATATGATTTTCAGACAGAGCACAAGGCTGCTGTTCTCTTGGGGGCTTCCAAAAATAAGAGTCAAAGAACTGAGCAGAGCCAGGAGTCTGCATCCTCGGGGACGTTCTAGTTTGTTGTTTCCAGGACAAAAACCCACATGACGCGCAGAGGGGGTGGCCGGACTGCAAGACGGTCCCGGAGAGCTGCACGGAGAGGACCAGGGCCCACCTGCTTGCACAGGCCTGGGCACAAAGCAGGCCGCAGCCCGCGCCCTTTCCCGCACAGGGAGGAGGCAGGCTGGGGCTCGCTGGGAAGTGTCGGCGTCCTGCCTCACCTGCGGCCCCAGCGGGCTTCTTCTCGTGAGGAGACCTTGGGTCTGGAGAGCCGGCCTGACCCCCGCTGGCCTCCACTGGACGGAGGCCTGAGACCCCTGAATCGCCTGCTGGCCTGCATCCCCTCGGGACATCCCCCCGAACACACACACACAGTGAATTCATAGGAGCTCTAGGGACGGGTGAGTGAACGTATCTGTAATTCTGGAGCAAGAGGGGCCCTTCTAAGGAGGAAGCAAAGCCCAGAAGCACAAAGGGAGACTGCTTGTCGGACGGGT